ATGTGTACCAAAAATAACATTAGTCCATAAACATAGTCGGCATAAACACTGTCACATGGCAGACAAAACGCCGCCCCGCATTACTTCCCATTTCATCATACTTGCGTGTGTTCACACACCTTTGTTGGGACAAATGTGTGAACGTTGGTTCTTTTTAAAATGCATGGAAGCCTACAAATAGCTTTGATTATTCCTTCCTCTCTATCTCACAAGTTGTTTATCACTTCGACTGCTCCTAAATTGACTATCCTGTTGCGGTTATCCACTCATGACTGATTGTTGCAGCTGACGCTTTATTTGGGTGGTTCCTGTTTTCTTCTGTCACCTTTTTAAAGATATTTTAGGCAAATCCACTTAATTTTGTCTTGTATGCATCTTGTCTAATTGGCAGCTTTACTGGATGCAAGCTAACGCAAGCAAGTGTAAGTGGGAGTTTAGTGAAGGAAGACGACATCGCAAGTGAACCATATCTTTCATCAGCGACCTAGATAAGTCATGTACAGACATGAATAATTAGGTGAGGCGACCAGAAATATGGTAATCCTGCTAGTCCGCAGTCGTGACTTGGAAGGCGCACCTGCATTAATCGAGTCAGCAATAACCGGCTTGTGGTCGTGATTGTGTCGATGTGCCATATGGAGAATTAACAACCTAAGTATGGATAAAGCATTCTGCAAAGCCGAGGACACTCCTTCCAACATAGAAGTAGCAGTTGATTGAAGAAATGGATGTACTTGTGGGAATAGGAAATTCCATGTGAATTGAATGAAAGAAGGCTTTACAAGTGACCCTAGTTTGCTTAGACAAAGGAGGCGAATATCTATTGACCGGCTGACTTCTTCCTTAGGCCTTGGAGACGACAGAAGTCGGAAAGGCCTTTGACGTAGTGCTTAACGCATTACCTTCAGTGATACGGGGCATGATGTTTCATAATGCTGTCACTTCTTACCTTCGGTTTGTTCGCCTTCTACTCCATTTGTATCCTTACTCTGACGACACAGAAGACGGCTTAAGAACATGCGCAAAAAAAGGGGAGGTGCAAAATTTACGGAGATCCCAAAAAAAGTACGAGGAAAGGAAAACAATCACTCTGAGCAAATACATATGGTTTGTGAATTTTTTGAAGTATGTGCTTCAGGGGATAGGTACATAAATAGACCGGTAAATTTTGACAGGGAGAACTCAGATTGACCCCTAATATCAGTGGGATTGCACATAGTGAAGAGGATAACAGGAGAAGTTGACGGACGATAAAGCGACGCATCCACCTAGTTGGCAGCGCTACGTTTGGTGCCACTACTAGATAAACAAAAGCCTCTTTGTTAGACAGTGCTATGCCAGCTCACTCCAATCACGTATGGTGAATGTTATATGCAATGACCCCATATGGTGAAACCGGACCAGCCTTCGATGTGTTCACCTTGAAATGCTTCATGCTAATTGGCTCCCATCCGTATCTTCACACACCTATTGTGGTATGAGGCTCACATACAGCCCTTATGTCCAACTTTCGGCATACTGTATTAATTCGTTCTCGTCTTTCTCGCCTATCACAGCCATGTGAGAAGAAAAAGAGGAAACGGATAATAATAATCGCCTGGCTAGGTAAAGGGAAACTAAAATAGCGTGTTCACTCCACCAACCACCGTGAGAACTCACCATTCAATCAAATTGCGACCACTCAGACCAGAAGCATGCAATTTATTTTAAGACTTGATTCTTCATCACTTTTTATTATGAAACTTTTTCTCGATTCATTTTATACAAAGTTTACTGACTCTTAAAAGGTTATTTTACTTCGTGATTTGCGGTAGAGAAAACACTAAGACTACAATCTACCTTATGGTGACAGAATTTGAAAAGCATGAATGAGTAGACAAGTGCGCGGTTGTTGTGCGATGAGAACTACAAAAATTTCCAACAATCCCACGTTTCAAAATGCCAGTTATGTGTTTCCTCTACTCCCTATTCGAATAAGAGAAATTTGTTGCCTAACCGGGAAAGGCACTTGCCTCCAAAATGGCGGCTACCACTGCTTCACCTTCTTTTTCTGCATCGAGTCGCCTGCTTTAAGGCATGGTGTAGTAGTCAGATTCTGCAGCGCCTTCAGTCACCTCAAAGGCGCTGCTGCAATGTGTCAGTGCAGACTGAGCTTACTCACAAAGGAGATTCAATTCAACTCCTTCCACTATTTTAATCCCTTATAATAGATTCAATTATTTCACAGATATTTTTCAACCATGGCATATGCAGTATAATAAACTTCAGGGAGGATTTCCTGCCTTTTTTGTCTCGTGTGGCATCACACTGGTCATCCCCAGCTTCGCCCTTTTTCCGTTTTTTCCTTTTTTTCCACTAATATGCTTCCTCTGGAGACCCAAATTGAATGAGAAGCAGGATGTTCTTTCCGTACTGCATGAAAATTGGTCAGATCGTGACGAAGGATGCACACCTCTCACTCATACTTTACCTCATTCATTAATCAAGGTAGTGCCCTGTGCTACTGAATTGTTATAAGTAAAAGTCTAATTGTGTATTACTATCATCACTAGCACAATCTCCACGTTCCCCTTCGTTGCCTGTCATCTCCAATTCAGTTTGTTTCACAATTCTGTGGTTTCTCATTGTCTTTTGTACACAGGCGAACTTGCGGGAAATATTTGCTAACCAAAAAAGTCTTTCAATTTTGGGCAGTAAATCTTGAGCAGAATGCTACTGAAATTTCGTAAGTAGCACACGGGCAGCACTGCTACTAATACTTTAGATTTCGCGGTCCAACTGGCGAATAACCAATCAAATGCCGCTTAATGCGCGTCATTGTTGAAATACTTCCTGTCCCTGCCTCGTATCAAGTACGTGAATTGATTGTGCATATTTGAAAAGATTGGGCTTCCCGTGATAACGCGACATTCCACATTGTCGAGTTGCATGTCGCAGTATTTTTCTGTCTACTTTAATGTGACCTTCAAGTAGGTGGCAAGATAGACATTTAGCTTCTGCGTCTTTTCAAAAACATCCAACGACAGGACAAACCCGTGAATGTCAAATAAACAGGATGAAATTTAAAATATGGCGACAAATTCATGCTGCAGGCCAAAAAAAACATCTCAACATCCGTCCCTCACTAAAGTCAGCGACGTGCAGATGTCACACAACAAAAAGGGGCAAAGCCTTAACAGGTTCCACAAATTAGTAAACGGCGTTAGTTTTCAAAGAACTTGCTCCGAAAGTGCACAATAAATCCGTTGGTATGTGGGCAGATCCATAAAAAATCCGAGTTGTCTGCCAATCCACTTATCCATCCAGTACCCATCCTTTACGTACCCATGTGTCTATTAATCCACTTCTACCATTCCATCAATCCATCCATCCATCCATCCCGGATCCATCCATCCCGGATCCATCC